TATCATAGCTAAGACAACCACAGCGTTCCAAATTTTTTGTAGTTACAAGTGGTTATCCTTATTCTATTTTCTTTCTGCATTTTTTGGGAACATAATTAATTGTATTAGTATTATACGTTACTTAGATGTATTGTTATCTATAAAGCAGGGAAAATAGAACAAAACTGGCTCACAGGATCTCTTCATGAATGGCAGCTAGGATTTCTGTATATTAAGAGAGTTTTCTCTTTCAAACATAATGATATTTACGATTTTTGACTGTTCTAAATGGATGTCTTTCTGGAATATATAAATCTTTGCCTTCTTAAACAAAGTATGTGAACCTGTATTTAACTTTTTGGGGAATTCTTGGCATTATTGTTGCAAAGACAGAATTAAGGAAATTTAAGAGATGTAAGGGACATTATAGTTCATCTAAACTGGGGTTTGTAAACACCACTTGCTCCTTCCTTAAGGAGCCTTTTTAGACCTCCCGCCCCAACCCCTGAAATTTTAATACCATGGTATACTGTGTATCTGTTTCTGGACTGTATGGGTGTGCTTTATTCATTAAAAGAGTAAACTTTTTCCATGCCCTTTCTTCCACAAATAACCACTTATTACCTCCATTGAGAATACGTGGTCTAAACTAATGCTCTCAGGCTCAGAGAAGTTAAATGACATGTTCAACCTCATGGAGCACAGCCAAGATTATACAATATTTTTCTACGCTGAACAATGGCGATGCTCTCCATGCTCTGAGTTCTGAAGAATTGGTAGTAAATTTATTCAGGCTGCTATGCTTTGTGAGATTTTGTGCTTTATTTTTAGTGTATACATTTTACTGGGTATCTTCTCATTGTCAGCCAGTGTGCTAAGCTCTTCCCATGCATTATTTCATGTAATCTTCACAACTGCCTTAGTAGACAGGCTGCATTTTTATCAATGTTGTGTCAATGAATAAACTGAAGTACAGAGAAGTTAAGGAATTACTCATGATCTCACACAGCTCATAACGGTGGAGGTGGGATTGGAATTCAAGCCTTTAGATTGCCCCATTAGGCACTTACCTTTTTAAAAAAGTTTCATTTTTCTTGTTGGAATCAGAATGTCAGCTATTGCTGGTGCCTGCTTTGTGTACCTGCCTCTGGGATATGTCTGTGATTCTGCTTCCTGGTTCTTATCTGTGTTGAGTTTAGAAACCAGATCAGATTAAAGGGTTGGTGGCCTCTTCTATGAATAATGTAACACCTTCCAGTCTGTGGCCATCCACGGTAATGACCACCGAGAGGCCTTTCACCCTGGCTCTCCCCTTATCTCGCTGCCTGTTCTGTGTATACATCATTGTCAGCCAAATTCTGGAGGGGTGAGGGGTTGTTGTGCTTGTACATTGAATACTGCAGCATAATGTACGAAGTTTAATATGAGCTTTCAAAGGAAATGTTTTGTATGAATTGCAATTGGCCAAAGTAATTTGGTCATTCACAGTTATAGGTCCACAATCCCTTATCTATAATGCCAAAATCCAAAAAAAAAGCTCTGATAACAGAAAGCTTTGAATTGACATGAGGCTATTTGTTATAGTCTTTATTTATCCTGCTTAGTGTGAATAGCCTTGCTTCTCGCTGCGGAAATATTAATGTGTTTGATTGGTTCCTCAGACCCTGCTCAGGGGTAATGGGTAATATAGATACATTCATAATATTAGTTTTCTAATGTACAAAAAATTCTTAATTCTGAAACACAACTGACTCCCAAAAGTTTGGATTCTGTGAACAGCGGGCCTGTCTCTATTATTTCTAACTAATCTACGTATTTTGACCACTACTTTTTTCACCTATGATTTTTTTCCCTTTTGTCTCTTAATGCCAATTAACAATGTTTTTAGTGCCAATTGAGATAATGATAGTTGAAATGTGCTTGTGGTAACTTTTGGAATGTGGATGCTTGATTTCTCTCTGACATGCTATTTTAGCCCTATATATAGGCACTCCAGGGCTAAAATAACATTTTATATCTATGTGTATATATATGTATGTACACAC